ACTTGCCCCTGTGTCTCTATTCTTTCGCATGTATTTCACCTGCCTGAAATTCCTTTCTCCGTTTAGTTGCCCTCTTTGGAAAATCTTCCCTGGTTTTCCCAGAATGAAAATGGCACCCTGCCTTTTGGCTTCTGAAGCACCCCTTTAAGCCCCAGGACCAATCCCACTGAATCCTATCCACCTTTCTTCCTTCTCCTTTAGGTCCAGGACAACTGCAGGACATCAAATGTGGTCTCTGTATCCCCACACCCAGCCCAGAACCTGGAAACAGGAGGCACTCTCAGAACATCTGTTGAGTAAGTAAACCAATCAACCAACCAACACAGTCTTCTCCAAAGGCAGGCAGGAAAGGTGGGGTCAAGGACACAGGTGGGAAGTCAGCCTTGGAGTGAATGCAGAACACACCTTTGCTAAAGGCAGGAGCAAAGCAGAGGAGGATGAGGATAAAGATTTTTAAGAAAGGCAATGAAACCTTGAATGAGTTCATGCTGAGTGCTTATTTTGATCATAAAAACAGGGCAAAGAGGACATCAGATTATTATTCTCATCTATGTCAAATGACCTTATGCTTCTTAAGGTACATTAACTTCAAAATAATTACTGACTACCTGGAACATGATGTGTTTATTCAGCTATCTTTTGTTCCTGGAGTTCTGGACTGTCTCATGAGAAACAAATAATGAGAAATTGCTTCAACAAATTTAGGTATGATTTAACATATGCATTGGTACTGTGATGGTAGATTTTTAATATAGACCTCTAACTCATTAAATACACCATTTCTGAAACTTTAAACTTTCTTGAGTATTCACTATAGAGAACTAGAAGCCCTGCATTTGCGTTGGCTTTAGCATTTACTAGACAGCGCCTGAAACTAACCTATTATCAAACTGAAGGGGCACCAGAGCAAGGCTAAAAACAAACAACTCAGACAACAAATGATGTTGGGGCAGGAACCAGAAGACAGGAAGTCCAAGTCACAGAACTCTAGGTGCACCCTGGGACAAACCATTTCCACAATATCGAGGAGTGGAGTTTTACTGCCACCAACAGGACAGCAGGCATTCTTCAGGCTAGTATAAAACTGTGCAGAAACCATCTCCAAACAGATTCTGTTCAGGTCTTCAGACTTCTAACCTGGTCGTTGACTGCAGAAATGACATCCCTAACTTTAGTCCTTCCTTATGTCACCATCTGCAAGCACAGAAACTAGACCTTTGAGCTCAGTGGGCGTGTCAGACGCCAAGGGAGCTAATGTTCCCTTTCCAGTCTCAGGTATGTGGTTTTCCACTTCCCCTTTTGCCCTGCGGGACCCCAAGTCCTGCAGGGACAGTGGCAGGTGGAGACGCTAGAGCCCAAGTTAGTCCTTCTTTTCCATGATGGCAGAGAAGGAAGGGGGAGTCGTCCCTCGGAAGGACAAGGAAACACTTACCTAATCAGCCTGCTGCTAAACAAATAACTGGTTTTTCAACTCTAATAAATAGGTCCTAATTCTGGATTGTTATTATTTTTTGATTCTCTGTGAAGCTTCTTTTCTCCATTCCTCTTCTCCCCGTTTGTGAACCACCCCCCCACCCCAAAAAAAAAAAAAGCTGAACACTGAAGTAAATGGAATGGACAGGACAATTTTGAGGGGAAAAAATTCAAAAGTAAGCAAACAAATATGATATGCACAAAATATCTTTAAAAAAATAATAAAGTGCTGTATAATAAAGTTTCCCATGAGCCACTCCGAATCACGGTAATGACAAATTAAAAAACTGCACAGGAAGCTTTCTCAGACTATGGAAAAGGCTTTCTACTCCTCATGTGAGGCAATTTGATCCTTAGTAAACAGAGGTGGTCAGACTATGGCCAACTGTGGCAGCAGAGAGTCATGGCCACAGCGGTGGCCATGGCAATCCAGAAATGGAGTGTGAGGAACGAATTTTCCTGAAAGAAGGCAAACGCGATGAGGAACGAGATGGGATTTTGCTGCGGCCACTTCTAGAAAGTGAGCCCCCTAGATTAGACAGGAAGGAGTCAAATTACCTCTGTAGGAGAACATAGCTCAATATAATCTGCATACACACAGGTTATATCCTAAGATCCCCCCACATGTAAAATGACTAAAAATGAGTTCAGCAAGGTTGTGGAATACAAGACCAATTTAGAAAGAGCAAATTCATTTTTAGATATTAGCAATTAAGAAGAAAAGTTAGATTAAGAAAATAATCCCATTCACAATAGCATCAACAAAATATTTCAAAACAAATTTAAAAAGAAGGGCAAGTCTTTTGTACACTGAAAACTATAAATATTATGGAGAGAAATTAAAGACCTAAATAAATGAGAACTTTCTGTTTTCATAGATTGGAAGACTCAATATTAAGGTGGCACATTCCTCAACTGATTGAGAGATTGAATGCAATCCCTATTAAGGGATTCTACTGTCATATACATTCTGTTAAGATTCTACTGTCATATACATTCTGTTATTCTTTCTGCCAGGTGGGGACAATCAGATCAATGACATATACTTCAATTTAGCCCTATATATACAGTCTCCATGAAGAGTCAGTTTCAGGATTTATACAAAGCAGATAAAAAATATCAGTCACTACTGGTGAAAAACACTCTCCTTCTATCTTTTCTAACTAGCCAAATTCTCAGAGATGATGTTTGAAGACTGCCTAAATATTGCTAAAGATATAAAAAGCTTTTCTGCACAGTGACCAAAGAATGACCTCTGCCCAACCACGTCTAGGTTAACAAGCTCAGAAATAAATGGCCATAATACAGAAAAGTAAACATGTTAACCAGGAAGACAATTAACATCTATAGTATTGGGCTGACAAATAAAGTTCTGATATCCACAGGGGTAGGCCTGGGTTACCTAAAAGACTAATGAGCATGTGTTGAAAACACCAGTGGACAGGCCACCAAAAGTATGGGAAAGGTAACTTGGGAAAGATGAAATGTCCAAGACTTAAAAAGAAAATTAGATATGATAGGAAAATCAGAACTTTGTTGAACTTCCTTATACTTGTTTAGAATGTAGTATTGCATTTAGTCTGAATTACATAATGCTTTAATTGATTAAGTCTATAAAGGTCTTATTCTAGCCCTGTCTGTTGAGAGGACACGTTGGAAAGTGATTTGTTTTGGTTTTGGTTTTGGTACTGGTGACTGAACCCAGGGGCTCTTCACCACTAAGCCACATCCCCAGCCCTTTTTAAAATTTTTAAAAAATATTTTTAGTTGTAGATGGACACAATACCTTTATTTTATTTATTTATTTTTATGTGTTGCTGAGAATCGAACCCACTGCCTCAACATGCTAGGCAAGTGCTCTACCAATAAGCTACAACACCAGCCTCCTTTGTTAAATTTTTTATTTTAAGATAGGGTCTCATTAAGCAGCTTAGGGCCTCATTAAGTTGCTGAGGCTGGCCTCAAATTTGCAATGCTTCTGGCTCAGCCTCCCAAGCAGCTAGGATTACAGGAATGTGCCATCACCCCCAACTAAGTGGTTTTGATTTATTTTAATGACAAAAATTCAAGGTCAAGATTCATGACTTCATTAAAAGATAAAAGCAAATATGTTTGTGTTATTTTATTTAAAATAAAATTTCAAATATCTTTTCTAACTTCTATAGTAATTTTGGCATAAAAATTGTCCATATACACTGGGTGCAGTGGTGCACACCTTTAATCCCAGTAGCTCAGGAGGATCATGAATTTAAAGCCAGCCTTAGCAAAGGCAAGGTGCTAAGCAACTCAGTAAGACCCTGTCTCTAATAAAATACAAAATTGAGCTGGGGATGTAGCTCAGTGGTTTAGTGCTCCTGAGCTCAATCCCTGGTACCACGCACTGCCCCCGCAAAAGAACTGTCCATATACAAACATAAAATGATTTAATGAAAAAAGCACATTTTATGAACTTCACAAAAAGCATGTGCTTGTGAATCACAAGCAGCAATCTGCTTCTAGAGTTTCAGAGGACCCATGTTATTTCATGCTTTGTTTAGAATCAAGGTGTGTAGAGGTTATCTATCAAAGCTCTCTAACTCTGTCAAGAAACCCTCCCAAGAAAACTTTTGAGGGATTCCAAATAATAATGGTGGATCTAGGAACATATTCTAAGTACTTCGTAAATGACAATATTAATCATTATCATGACAGCTAACATTTATTAGGCAGTAAGATTTTCTAGACATTATATAAAGAACTTTTATATACTACCTGAATTATTATAACAATGCCATAAATTAATTTTTATTATTATTTCAAAACCCAGGTTCGGAGCACTTAGAGTAATTTGCCCAAGGTCATCCAACAGGACTGAAATTAGAACCAAATCTGCCAGAGTCCGATTCAACCACCATCTGACTCAGGGAAAGGATAAGCCTGAGCCTTTATGAACAAGGCAATTATAGCCTTCAACAGCAGGATGCCATCTTTGTCTGGGTTATTTTCATCAACTCTGCAGCAAACATCTTGCTGTTACCACACTATTAAGGCTGTATTAATATGTTGATATAAAATCCAACAAGGTAATTTTATAGAATTCTAAAACATCTTATAAATTTCCAGCTATCAGGGAAAGAACTGCAAAGTGAAATGTAGCCATTTCTTTCTAAGTCAGTGCATTATAGAATCCTTTTAATAATTCAATTATATGTTTAGGTACTCCAGGGATGTAATTATGGAAAGAAGTATTTTAAGAAAAAACCCTTTCTTCATTTTGACAGAAAACATGTTTTAACTTTCAAATTTCTCACATTATCCAACTCATATAAGGGAAAGCATCTTTTAGGTTATAGGATTAGATAGATTATAGGAAAACTAAACTCAAAACGCACAGCAATAAAAAAGGATGAGAAGGAGGGAGGATCCGAGTTTCCTAGAGAAGCCATCTTCCTCTAGGTACAAGAACCTAGAATGACTCAAAGGCTTATTCCAGTTTCAAACGCAAAGAGCTAAGGTAGTTTGATAATTTAAGACTGAAACAAACTTACCTTTAGGAGAGCCAAGGCAACATGAAAGATTATGTTCAAACCCTGAAAGATAAAAGGGACAGTGAAAATCAATACTATCACACCTACAACTGTTTTATTAAGTACTACCCAAGACTTCCATACATCATTAATAAAATTCCTGATTGCTTTAATCTTCACATACAATACTAATTAAACCATAAGATTTTTTGAAAAGGTATTTTGCCCCTCTGAGATTCATAGTGAAAAATTTACATGCTATTTAATTAATATTCATATAAAATTAATATTTTTCTTCTATCTACTTCTGGGTTATTTGTCTGTGGCTAAGTGTTGCAAAAGTCAAGTTCCTTGCTCAAGATGGCAAAAATAACACAGAAGTCTAAAACCATTAATTGAAATTCCTAATCCTAGTTCAGACATCTGGGTGACAGAGTTAAACTGCCAGTGACCGATAAAACCAAGCCAGTGCATGCTCCTGATGCTCTCGGGATTTCCAACACGGTCCTTAGTGTTGTGTTGTTGTCCTAGTGCTTTCTTTGAAGTGCAAAAACTAGAGGTGGAAATCAGGGGCTATCAGCCAGACTTCCTTTTCCTTTTCTTTACTAAAAAGCCAGAGCACTATTTCAGTAGGGATAAACTAAATAGCCTCTGGGGAAGAAACACTGGAGCTGAGGTCTGGGCTCAGCCTAAAGACTGAAGGAGATGTTGAGCAGTTACATTTAAGAGACAGGGAACCTTACACAGTTAAGGTGACAGAATCAGAAACAGGCTGCCGGGAAAGGTGCTGTTTTCTCACCATGTAAGTCATCACACATGAGAAGAAAGATCTTTCAAGTGTGAGCTGATAGCTTCCAAAACTATAGGATTCATTCAGTGTGTTCTCTTCACCGTGGTGACAAATACCACCTATGCCTTTTGGATACGGAGCTGTACCAAACATATTATGAAATAATAAACCATGCCTTTTGTATCCAAAATCAGAAATGATGATTAGGATTGGATCCCAGAGTGCATTCCTGCTATGATTTGCTAAGGTAGCCTTTCGTATTCAACTAAAACTATGACACAATGTAGAAAGGGTGAATGATGAGCACAAAACATTTGGTTGGCTAAGCTACAAAGTTAAACTAAAGGTTTTGATTTTGGGATTACTCAGTCAATTCTTTAAGAAACAAAAAATGGTAGGAAGTAAGTATAACCAGGACAGGAAACAAAAACAAATTGACATAGTTCATTATCATACCAAATGATGATTCTAGACCTGCTGTGATTATAAGCTGCCAGTTAGAAAAAAGAAAGAAGACTATTCTAGATCAAGAAACTTGGGTTATAATTAAGCAAAATTGTTCTCACCCACTAGCTGATGCCCACCTGCCAAATCTTTTTGTTGTTGTTGTTGTTGGTTCAAAAGAATTCATTTTGACATAATTTTAAAAGCAAGGAATATAATTTGTCCGAATTCAGTCCCCAGGTCTTCCCCTTCCCCTCCCTTCCTCCTACTCCCTGTTCCTGGTCCCTCTGCTCTACTAGTCTATCTGCTATTTACGTATAACTTATTGGTCTATCTGCTATTTACTTATATATTTTTTTTAAATTAGAGTCTTGTTGGATGTATATGATGGTGAGATTCACTGTTAGGTCAGATTCATTCGACCGTCTTTTCCTACGCCATTCCTTTTTCCTTCCCTTAATTTCCCTTTGTCCATTGTACTAATGGTTCTTCTATCCTTTTTTTAGAACAAATCTTATTTTGCATTAGCTTCCACATATCCGAGAAAATATGTGACTTTTGACTTCTGGGGGCTGGCCTATTTCACTTAGCACGACAGTCTCCAGTTCCATCCATTTACTGTCAAATGCTATAATATCATTATTTTTTATGGCTGAGTAATAATCCGTTGTGTATATATATAGCACATTTTCTTTATCCATTCATCTGTTGAAGGGCACTTAGGTTGGCTCCATAGCTTGACTATTGTGAATTGTGCTGATATAAACACTGAAGTGGCTGCAACACTATAGCATGCTGCTTTTAAATCTTTTGAATATATACTGAGGAGTGGGATAACTAGGTCAAATGAAAGTTCCAGTCCTAGTTTTTTGAAGCATCTCCATACTCCTTTCCAGAGTGTTTGCACTAATTTTCAGTCCCACCAATAATGTATGAGTGTACCTTTTTCCCTGTAGCCTCACCAACATTTATTGTTCTTTGTAGTCTTGACAATTGCCATTCTGACTGGAGTGAAGTGGAATCTCAGTATGGTTTTAATTTGCATTTCCCTAATTGCTACAGGTTTTATTTCATACATTTGTTGACCATTCATATTTCTACTTTTGAGAAATGTCTGTTTAGTTCTTTGCCCATTTATCGATCAGGTTATTTGGTTTTCTGGTGTTAAGTTTTTGAATTCTTTGTGTATCCTGAATATCAATGCCCTATCTGAGGAGCAGCACCTGCCAAATCTTGCAGGACAAGATAAAGAAGACCTGCTCCCCTGCTCCCCAGTCCTTCTATCCCATATCACACTGCAAGGCAGCAATAACTTCTCACAACCAGTGTTTGTCAACCTGCCACCAGGACTAGATCCAACAAGTTTCTTAAGTTGATACTCAAAATGTAAGCCTCTCTTGTCTCCAGTTCTCTAATCTTCATACTGCGCTGGTCTCCCCTGCTACACGAGGTTTCTACTTCTCCTTTCCTTTCCAAATCCTTGCATGCTCCTCTTTGGGAACTCCTGCACATTCACCAACTCTGCCGTTCTTCTCCACATTCCCCCCACCTCCTAGCTTCCATTGCAGCAGCGAAATCTATGATTCTCATAGACTGTACTATGATTCTTGTTTTTCAAAATGACTGTGATAAGCCCAAGATTATATATGTATTCAGTAGCCAGGATCACCCCACAAGTCTCCTGATGTTCATTTTCACCAAATAATGCTGGTGTGATACATATAGGAAGTGTTTAGCTAGTCTAAATTTTCTGTGGTTGATTCTTTTTCCTGTGTACTCAACTAGACCAATTTATGGAATTATCCTCAAAATACAGTAAGAGCCTCTTTTCTTCAATTATCTCAGAATCAAATTATGATGTAACTAAGCCTTGAAAAAGAAACAAGAAAGTTTAAATGTCTTAAAAACTTAAGATCTCTAAATATTGAAAACAACTCTCACCAACCCCAAGATAAAATATTTTTTTGGATTTTATTTTATATGTACTTCTAATCAGTTTGGCGATAAGATTCTAGAGTTTATAGATAGTAGAAGTAGCAAGCTACAAAACAAAGTATGTGAGCCAAAATAAACTTTCTCTCTATTAGTGGTGTCAAGTATTAGTTTTAATAATGGAAAGCTACTAACACAGCGAATAAATCACTTTTTTGGGTCTCCCTTAATGTGTCCTCTAATTTCTAAAGGATGAAAATGATTCCTTCCACTTAAAGACAAGTAAATTTTCAGAGTGGACAATAGAGAGAGAGCAAAAATGTGACTCCTACCAAAACCAGATTCTATCATTTGTCTCCATATTAAAAACACTCACAAAAAGGAGCTGATTGAACATGAGGCAATAAAAATCCAGCTCGCTGTGGAAAGAAAGGGTCACCACCTTCCTCCAGTGACAATACATTGAGATCAGCAAGAAGCAGTGGTTCCTTAACTGATCTGGATATTGCTGTGTCAAAATTCAGTCGCAGTCCTGGCAACATCTTTGCTTTTAAGAACACCTACAAGTAATTGCCCCAAATTGAATAATTGCTCCAAAGTGAAGATCACACTGTTCCTTGGTAGGCCAACTATTGAGCACCCACCCTCCTGCATAAATAAAGGTTGACAGCTGAGCACTCACTGAAACAAAGACACCGAACATCTTGGCTCTGATGAGCAGGCACTCGTGGGTTCAGAGGGAGCTGACAGATTATGTGAAAAGCTGTCAAAAAGCTGTACTGACGGCACTGAGAGCAAACTATGCAAAGGTAGTGTCAAAAGTGCCAGATGCACATCAGCACTTGGCTCCTTAGGGTTAAAGTGACAGGGAAATAAATAGTATGCAGAAGTGGAGATCAACAGGCAGCAAGAGATGATCTAATCCAAAGTGGCCAAGGTGGACGGGACAGCCCAGACGAAGCCAGAGGGCTTGGTGTGCCAACCTTTCTGACCATCCCAAGTGGTATATACCACCCAGGAAAGGGTGTGATTAAATTAGACAGCGTATAACTCTGCATTTGGTAAGTACTGATAAATGCTAGCAATCACTATTAAATCATGTACTGATTGCCTACTATCTCCAACATTTTATGTTTTTCCCACTCAAACCTCTCTACCACTCGTCATCATCTTAGAGATGAGAGACAGGCTTAGAGATATCACAACTGTTACAAAGTGATAAAGCCAGCATTAGAATTTAGTTTTCGGTCAGACGAAAATAAATTCATGCTCTGTTTACTAATTTTATCTCAGATGTTTATAGTCAGTGAGACTTATAGATATATCTGTGATAGATTAAAGATGGTCACAATTCTTTGACACTTTTCCCACTGAGAGGCTGGGTCTCTGCCCTCTCTTCTGAATCTGGACAACTATACCACTGCTATGACAGACAGAATGTGATGGAAGTGACACCATGCCAATGTATGGGCCCAGTCCTTCAGAGACTGACAGCTCCCATGTCCCCATCTGATGGCATAATCACTCTTGGAAGCCAGCCACCATGAAAGAAGCACAACTACACTTAGACCCTCGTGCTCCAAAAAGCCAGAAAGCCTCTAGGGCACCTGGAGGACCAGATGTCACTGACAGAAGAAAAACCAAGGATCACCAGGGCGCTGCGCATGTGAATCAAGTCATCTGGCAGTGAATCAGGTTGTCCAACCAATGTCATGTAGATCAAAGGGGAACCCTGCAGTCAAACCCTTTCCAATTCCCAACTCAAAGAAAACAAACAGCTCTTTTTATTTTTTTTTCACTTTGAAATAATTTTAGATTTAGAGAAAATTCCCCCAAATATCTGACATTTTACATAACCACAGTTCAATAACCAAAACCAAGAGCTCAGTATGAAACT